GATCGTCCACTAATGCCTTAGCGTCCGCGAGTGGCCTGTCAAGGACAATGGTAATAAGCATTTCGCCGCCATCTTTTTGTATGAGGGCCGGTCGGCCGGCTTGCATCTGCTCAAGGATCGCAACTGCCTTGTTTTCACACAAGGTGCGCTCCCATTCCTCCAGGGCAACGCACGGACGAAGGGACTGTCAGGCAGCGGGGAGGATGGCAGGTCTGTGAGAGTAGCTACTGCATGGCGGATGTCACTCTCCTTTACTTCATAAGACGGGGATGTTTTGTGCCCAATGGCCGGCTTGGAGTCAGCCCACAGTTGTCGCAGTGTGTATCCTGTCTTTGGTTCCATATATTTTCGGTTCCACACTGCGTTGTGACACCATTGGGGTGCTCTGTGATTTATTTCTACTGAATTTCTTTTCATGTCGTATTCTCCCAACATGTCGTCGAGCTCTGTAGGGTTCCAGATCGGTGAATGCAACACTGTCGGACGGCACCATCAATGTGTAACGGCCATCCCACTGGCATGTGGGAATCTTCCAGAAGCCCATCGCCGTTTTGTTCGATGATTGTGCCAAGCATTGGGACGTCAATTGTTGCCTTAAGACTAACCTGCGCTCGTTTGCATTTCCATGCGTCCGGCGCGAGCAAGGCACCGCGATGTCTTCGAACCAGGTGGGGCGGACAGACTGGACACCTATTTCGCTGGGGAACTCGCGTCTTGATGCTTTCCCTGCGCAGGCTGTGGTAGACAGGAAGGATCATCCATGCGGGGACAGACACAGTGATAAACTGAACGTTCCAGATGACTTGTAAGTTCTGCGGCAAGCGACCCGATGGCTCAGTTGGTATGGCGTTGGTCTTGCCAGCGCTGACAGACTGCCGGTGGTGGTTCGAATCCCTGCTGGTCCACTCGGGAGTCTCAAGTGCGACCCGCCGAAAGGCAACGGGCGCCAAAAAAATAAAAAAGACTTGTAAGTTCTGCGGCTTAATTTCTGGGGTGATGCACCTCACCTGGCCATCTATAACTCGCGTGTACGATTCAGATCGGTCAAAAGATGCCGTCACTTTTAAGCCGAGGTATAGTTCTCGATGGGGCTTCAAGGGGGCTTGAGAAGGGCTTCAAGGGGGCTTCAAGGGGGCTTCAAGCCCTTCTCACCTTCGTGCCCCCCCCACCGTACCGAACCCATCGCACCCCCCATGTGCCGTACCCACCGTACCCGCTGTACCGTACCTATCGTACCGTATACCCACCGTACCCACCGTACCCACCGTACCCACCTTACCATACCCACCGTACCAAGAGACCGCACCAGCGTACCAAGACTCCGTACCCACCGTGCCGTACCCATAGAAAGTGTCATATGTACCTACCCGTGCTGAATCATCCGAAAACATGCTTTTCATTCCTCTTGAAATTAGATAAGGTTTAGATGAAACAAGCCAAAGAAGCAACAATCTTTGAGGGGCTGGATCCGAGCCACCACCTTCGAAGGTACCCTTCAAGGGGGGCTTGAAGGGTCCCTCCCCGGGGCTACCCGTACCCACCGTACCGTACCCACCGTACCCACCGTACCGTACCAGCGTACCGTATACCACCATACCCACCGTACCGTACCCACTGTACCCACTGTACCCACTGTACCCACTGTACCGTACCCACCATACCCACCGTACCCACCGTACCGTACCCACTGTATACCGTACCACCGTAGCCAACGTACCGCACCTCTCACCGTACCATCATTTTTGAGGACCGTAACCCCCCACAGAGCATTACTCGTGAAATTAGATAATCTAAACCATCAAATCGCGATTCAGCAGGTTCGCATGCTCAGCGCTTCATATGTGGTACTCCCTTGGGATTCAAATCCATGAAAGATTGTTGATTTTGTGATGCAACATGCATTTCAACTAAGATCATATCACAGCACCGGAAACAAAAATAGAGCTCGGCATTTGCTTCAGCTGCAGTAGCCATTGAACTTGTGAGGGAAGTGTGGAAAAGAACAATGAAATTTCTTTATATAACGCAATTAAAATATTGCCAAAAATTGGATTTCGAAGCGGACCCTATTAATAAATTGAAACCCTTTATAAAAGACTAAAATTGTCACGGACCCTAATAATAAACACCCCGGGGTTAACCAGTTTTTATTATTACAGGGCGAAACCCACAAATGGTGGTTTTATTTGTAAATTGTTTTCTAAAGGGGATCAATTAGCAATCAAATTGGCCACCCTGATTTTTTCCAAAATTAGAGATGGACCCTAGTTTTCACTATTTGGGCGGGGTTTAGTAATAGGGGGAAGGGATTAGAGATAAAAAAAAATCACAAACCTTTCCCACTATCACCATTGACCTAGACACGTTCTAAGTGTTAAATTCCCGGTACGTTCTAAGTGATGAATCTCGATATCACCACGTTTTAAGTGATGAATTTCCTGCGTTTCTAAGTCCTATATGCGTTGGATAGCCAGTTTTTTTTTCCAAAATACGTTCTAAGTAATTGTCCGGCACTTTACACCAAAACATCGGTGAACGTGTTTTTTGTTTCAAAGCGCGCACGAAAAAAACCAAACATAACATTGAAAACTAAATTTGCCATTTGTGTTGCGTAGTTGGACGTTGTGCATACTCGGCATCATTGTTCAAAATTCCCGCGTTGTTTTTTTTGACATCGGCTTCAATAAAAATTTCGCATGTTCGCTCCATGAGAGGATTCTAATTTGCGTTTTTGAATCTCATTCACCTGCAATACTCACCTTACCCACCCCATCCTTTTCCGCTTTGTCAAGCACATCTTGAAAACGGGTTGCACGCAGGTCGAACTTGTTATGTGATCTGCAAATTCCAGACCATGTTTGAAAAACCACCATTCAACACATTTGTTTCAACCAATGGGTCCAATTATTTGGCTGTTGCATTTTTGCGTTTGTTGATTCTCACTTCCATGTGGGCCCCAGCGTAGTTGAGGGCTGCGGCGTCAGACCTCTGTCCGATGGCGAGGCGACAACATGGTGCTGCCTGTGATACCGAGATACCCCCAACTTGCAAATTTTAATCAGGAACAAAATGATCCAACACCAAATTTTTGGGGTACAAACACATTTTTTTTCTTGCAAAACAAGGCATTGGACCAACATTTCAACTATTTTTGAAAATCATTTGGCCAAACAATGTCACTATTTTCCATGATTGTTGATGTGCACAGTATGTTGTTTCTTGTGCCCATGAAAGTGGCACCTAGGTTCTGAGTCAAACCGACCTTTTCAATCTTCAGTCCTTTTTCAAAATATATGTACACACACATATATATATATATGTATACGTATGTATATATATATGTATATATATATATGTATATATATATATGTATATATATATGTATATAAATATATATATATGTATATATACATACGTATATATACATATATATATATATATACGTATGTATATGCATATGTATACGTATACGTATCCGTATATGTATATGTATACGTATATGTATATGTATATTTATATGTATATGTGTATGTGTATGTGTATGTGTATGTATATGTATATGTATACGTATACGTATACGTATATGTATATGTATATGTATATATGTAAATATGTAAATATGTAAATATGTAAATATGTAAATATGTAAATATATGTATATATAAATGTATATATGTATATGTATATATATATAATGATTTGCCGATGGTGACATCTAACTATTGGTCTATGCATCTGGGCGCCAGGTCCGGGTTGCGGCATGGCGCCTTCCAGGGCCTCGACTCCAGGCCCTGGGGGCCCTGGGACCGGGGGTCTGGGGACAAAAATCATGGAAAATGATGAAAATGGATTTAATATTGTGGTTTTTTGAGTGATGATAAGGTTATTAGGTTTTTAACCATGGTGTGTTTTTTTTCAACAAATATGTTTTTTTCCCCCATCTGAACATGTGTTTTTTGTCAGAACATTTCTTTGATTTCCAGCATGAAACTTGATGAACTGATGAACCGTGACCATTCCATTTGGTAAACTAGAAAATTTGACTGCTGTTAGGGCGGTTTTGACAATGTAAATCATGAGATGTGGGGATTTTCACCAGCAAAAGTCAGGATTGAATTTATTTGAAAAACAATTCCTAGGTTTTTTTTATCAATATGGTGATTTTTACATCAAAAACAGGGAATGGTCATACTTTGACACAACACAATCAAACAGAATCAAAATCATTTTTATTTAACTGTCAACCATCACATTATCATATATTTGAAACATAAACAACGGTGATATTCCAGTAACTAACATATGTTGTGATTTTCACCAGTATGGGTCAAAATTTAGGCCACATGTTTTTGGTTATGTTTGGCGTACAATAATCACCATATTATTTCGTAAAATATTTTTTCTGGTTCTCGCGACGATGTGTAAATTTAGCAACATCGATTTTTTTCTTTTATTCCAAACGCATTACTCCGCATTTTTCTTCAAAACGTTTGACACGGTTTCGTTTTCCTTCCCAGTTCTTACTGGAGAACCTGTTGTGCAGGTGGCCTGTCTACGCCCGGAAGCGGGGTGCGACAGGTGGATCAACAACTTTTGGGAATGGAAACTTCTCGTCTTACCAATGAGGATCCGTAAAAGCCACCTGCTGGGACTACATTACCCTCTGGTGAACTAACATAGCAATAGAAAATCACCATTTTTAATGGGAAAATCCACTATAAATGGCCATTTTCCATTGCTATGTTAGTTCACCAAGGGGTACATCGGTTGGGCATCAGGAATCTGGAGAGAAGATTTCTGTGGCACAGTTTCAGAGACCCCTTGACAATTTTTCCCATTGTATTCTTGGAATTTTCAGACACCTTGACAAATCGTTGCGATAGACGATGGCTTGACCGGCACGCCGCGGCACGCCAACTCTATCATCCAATGGCCACCTTGGGTTCCACAGTTACAGACCCATTTCTTTGTAGGTGATACACCTCCATTCTTGTCGAGCCATGATTTGCGTCCCAAAATGGCCCGATTTGTTTTTTTTCTTTTAAAGAAATAAGGTCTTTTTCCTTCATTTTAGAGGAATTTCAAGTTTGCAACCCTTAACATCACCCGGTCGCCGCCAGGTGCCGCTGGTCGATTTGTATCGCCCCAGGAGCGAGGCCAGACGATGTCTGGAGTCGGAAGTCGTCAGGCGGCGAGGAGGAGCCTGGTGCTGAGCTGGTGATTTCATGGCTGGAGGAATCCAGAAAAATGATGAAAAATGATGAAAATTCATGGTTCATGCTGGGGCTGAATGATTGTATATATAAAATTATAGAAATGAACATCGCAGCCCACACCTTTTTGTCCATATTATTGATGATTAACCATCAAAGATGGTGGTTTTAAATGCTTTGATCATCCTGGAATGGGAATATATGATGGCCAAGATATGTGTATATATATGATATGATATGATATGATATGATATGATATGATATGATATGATATATATATATATGATATATATATATATGGTATATGAAGGCCTGGAGGGTGGTCTCCCTGAGCCTCCCAGGTCACTTCCTCTGAGAAGGATCCGGGTCGACCTCCCCGGACGGCTCGGGGTGCCTCTAGGGGCTGGGTCTATGCGGCTTGGCTGCAGGGATGGGCTGATGAAGGCTGCTGAACGTCTCATGAGATCTGGGAATCTGGGACTTTGCATTCCTGTGAAGTGGATGGAAACTAGGTGGGGTCTCAAGTTGTGTTTCCAAAACATGGATGGGTGATGCAGTTGACACATGTAGTTCTCCCCGAGCAGACCCGATTTCTGCCCAGCCATGTCACTTTCCCGCCCAGAGCCCTACGACCTGGTATCGTCCGAGAGAACCAGCGGGGGAACCAAGCCAAAGGGATGGTAGTCTCGTTTCAAGCAAGGCGTCACAGTGTGGAATGATTTTGGGCAGTGAATTTGGTAATGTCTTCAGGCCCGCAGGTCATGAAGAGATTCAATACATTCAATACATTTCACCCAGGACAACGATTAATGATTATTTTTTTGGGTTAGGGTGAAATATGAGGTCCGGGACCAGATCGGCCCCCAGGATCAGGGTGCGAGACCCGGAGACCCTTTCCCAAATCTCTCAAGCCAAGGTGGAGCCTGCTTTGAGGTGCGAATGCCCTTGGATTCACTCGAGACCGGGATCAATCCCAGGAGTTGGCAAGTCTACCATTGCTGGTCCGGAAAAAAAGATCATAGATGTATGATCTGTCTTATCTTATCTAATCTTACCTCATTTGAATCTACTGTTAATTATCTGCAACTGAATTCTAAGTCCAACTCCAGTCTAAACTCAATCTCATATGATCGGATATAATCTCTGTCTATACCTGACATATTCACATAATTTCACATATACATCGCCTGATCAAAAACAAACATCAATTTCCCTACCGCTATCATACCCCAACGGCCCAACAGCAAGAACGAACCCTGCCAGGTCCAGCCCTGTGACTGGCTTCGAGGTGGGTTTACCACATGAACCTCGATTTAGGGGTAGATTCAGACGACAGACGCAGGCACATTTTCGTGAAGACGTATAATAAACATATATAACTACAAAATTAGTATAATTATATATATATATATATCTATATTGTTTCTCTCTCTCTCTCTATATATATATATAAAGTTTAAATAGTTTGAATATTTTCAAACATCGGTTTGGTTCACTTGCATGTCATGTGCGATGCTTCTTTTTTTGTAAGGGATGGGATCCTGTTGGAAGCCTGTTTGGAAGTTGGGCGTGTGCATGTCCCCAGCTGCTGGTCAAGCACATGGAAATGACAAGAGAATTTAAAGATGCCATGGCTCAAGATCCCCCAATCCTGTTCTGTCACAATTTTTGTGAATTTCCCATCCCAAAAACAAATTTCAATTCCAAACAATCATCAAACATTCTCGAATCATGCCTAAACCTTCCCGGATTTTTCCTTTGGCTTTTCCAATAAACCCTTCCCAGCCGTTCCGCACCCACCTGAAGCGACGCTTCGCCATGCCGCCGACGATCACCATCCCGGCGAAGATTTTCTTCCAGGTCACCTGCAAAGAGACCAACGTGGGCGACACCGTCTGGGTGGTGGGATCAGTGCCTGAGCACCTTGGCCTTGGATGGGGGGGTTGCCTCTGCCAAAGGTGGGGCGGTTTTGGGGCTTGTCTGGAAAAATGAGGGATAACGGAGGCTTGAGCCGACCAAAACGAGGGTGGACAGCTCAAAAAAATGATTTGTGGGTTCCGCCTTGAGTTTGGAACTGTGTGCTTTGGACCTCCCAGGCTTGGCAGTTGGCAGGTGAAGGAAGGCCTCCAGTTGGAGACGACGGCTGACAGCTTTCCGCTTTGGAAGTCGCCTCAAGTGCCTATCATTCCTGGGAAGATCCAATTCAAGAGACTTGGTGAAACAATGGCGGGTGGAGGTGGGCCACTGGGTCAGAGGGGGCCATTGGTGATGCCTTTGCATAGATCGTCAGGATCGTCATCCTTTCAGAAAATGGCAATGCGCGCTGGGAAGGCACCAAGAACAAGGACGTGTGCCGCAGCTGCAATTTTCGAGAGAAAACATCGCCAAAGAAATATGAACTGTGGCCAAATCACCAATGATGGTGGGTTTGTTGCAGCATCCTTTGTGTGTTTCTTGCAACCATGATCATTGAAATCCATGGAAATCCGTAAATGTTGACAATGAACGACACTATTTGCAGGATTTCAAGAGGATTTGAGGCCAGCAAGAACATGTTCAAACCAAGGCAGACCTTCGAGAGCAAAAGGACCCAGGTCCAATGTGCCTTCAATAGCCACTGGATGCGAAGCTCTGAGACGTGGGATATACTGGCACAATTGCGCGGCTGTTCTTCCAAAAACACTCATGGTTTGTCCTCATAAAAGAGATGCTCATGTGGGTGACGCCAACTTTTGTCACAATATATCATACATATCTCCACAGTCATCCGCATGGGAGCTAGGCAATGCAAGGCAATACTTATTCATTTGGAATTTTGCCTGAGGGAACCATGATTTATTGGCCCCAATTTTTGGCACCCTCTCAACTTTATACTTGGGATCTGGAATAATGGCTGGACCTTCAAAGACCAAGAGGCAGTTGGAGGCATCATTTTCTGGAGATATTCCCGCTTGAAGAATATGGGGTCTGGGTGGAATTTTCAAGGCCAACATCAACTTACTATATGGGTTGATTTGAACATAGGGTACCCATTAGACTTGCCATGACTTGTGCTTATTCGACCCATCTTCAGACAAATCCAAATGGTTTTTAGTCAGTGACTGGGTTAAGTCAAGACATGGTTTTCCTATGTTTTTCCTGTAGACCTCCCTTTACTCAACTCAATCTGTAGAAGTGCCCTCCGGAATTTGAAGAAAGCGATGGAAAATGGTCCATTGATGATTTACATTGGATTTATATTGGATTTACATTGATTTAACATTGATTTACCATTGATTTACCCTTGATTTACCTATTTTTCAGATGCTGATTTTCCACTTGTTCAACGACCAGTCCGTCTGGTGACTGGCTCACAGTCATGGTGATCGAATCTTTCAGGTGACGACATGCTGTGCGCCACCATGAAGATGACCGAGAAGGACGAGACGAGAAATATGACCGGGGGGATTTCATCATGATGGGTTATCTTTCAGCATCACATGGGGATATGGTATGGAAATGGTATGGAAATGCTATGGATATGGTATGGAAATGGTATGATATAAGCTGGGATCAGCAAAGTAAAAACAAACAGCCTTTCAATAGTTCTCAACATCTTGATTTTTGTTCCTCAAAGATCGGCAGTGTCCCGGGGGGCTTCATCAATATAGGGATTGCCAGTATATCCCAGTCTGTTTGGATTCCACGGACGATGACCCATAAACCATGTTCGGACCATGGGTGCAAATATGACTGGGGTTATTTCAGGTTATTTCATGAACGAATCATCGTCATGAGCCAAGTATGTAATGTTTGTTGGTTGTGGCGCCAAGTTTTTAACCCGCCAAAGGTGTTACTTACAGAATCCTGCATGAATGGTGGGAATGGGTGAAATTCTCCAGGCCTCCAGGCCATGGATAGTTTCAGATCGTAAAAATGATCAGCCATTTGTGGATTGATTGGTACCCCACACCCAAATGACAGCGCCCCATTGTGGACAAACCCATATCTCATATCACATTGGTGAAATACATATCCTGGTTGGTTTCATACCCTCATTTTGTCTTGGAATTTCAAAGAATTTAACATCTCCCCCGTGATTGTCCAATTGGTTGATCCGCACTGTTGTTGACTTCTGTACACCCCTATTGGGGGATTGTCACCAACACCCATTATTTTTGGATCCCCACATGAAAACACCTTATGGGATCCCCCGATCAATCCCACAAGGTGGGGGTTCAATCATGTTCAATTAATATCTACCGTAAACCACAGAATGCCACAGAGCTATGTTCACCAGCGATATTGCTAGCGCGGCCACAAATGCAGCCCATGGCACACCCAGGACCTCGAAGCCGCCGGCGTGAAGCTGAGCAAGGCCCAGATGGACCCTGCGCCGGAGCCGGCTGCGCCGGAGCCCGCGCCGGCCACGCCGGACACGGCGGTGCCGCCGGAGACGGAGCAGGGTGAAGGCTACCCGGCTGAGGCCGGTTGTGGGTGATAGGGGGATGGTTGGGTTGGGTGATCCATGGCAATTGGAAAATCATCTATAAAGGTAAGATAAGATTGATGTTCATTGGTGTGTTGGATGGAGGGTATTTTTTTCTGGGCATGTTTGTCCATTGAAAATGCTCAAGAAATGACACTTCACCTCTTTTCTTGGGGGTTGGTGGTGTGGGGACTCGTGCAAGCCCGAAGTTGCTTCCCAAAACTTACGGGGTCTCCAAATGGGGTCTGAAAATAGGCTACCCCATTCCATCCACTGATTAATCCTCATTTTCCAAATAATATTGCCATGAGGGTCTACCCCATTTTCGGACATCTTGCCAGAATCGGGGTGAACTTTGTGGGATGTCTGCCCTGCAGGTCCCTGAAAGGACGGTGCCCTTGAAGACTGAGGTGCAACGGCACCGGTGGGTTCCACATTTTTGGACAGCCATCTAGCGCTTGCTGGTCATAGAATCCCCACTAACAGCCTCGTAAATCTCAATGGATACTGGTTGTATCCCGGATTTTGTTGGACATGTGTGATCTCTGCCCTTCCCTAGCATAGCTTTCTGCACTCCCCAACATCTTGATGTGGAGTTTTTCCAGCCACTTTTCAGGACGGCCCTCCCATGCAGAAGTCTCAGTGCCCTGACTAAAGCTGCCAGGGGGAACGGATCCCTGAATGATCCTTGTTGCAATTTCCTCTCCAGAATCGGGGGGGCTGGCACCCCAAAAACATTCCATTCTGGAAAGCCCTCCTGCACCCCTACTTTGCTACAAAATCAAAGACCATGGGCTGGCAAGCACCCAAAAACCACCAATTTTGGACATTTTTGGACTGTATCTTGGTAGGTCCCTGATTCTGTAAATGGGGGCCCCAACGTTGAGCAGAAAGTGTACAAAACCTTACATTTTGGTCAGGGAACTGATTTTGTAGACATAAGGCTGGCGATACCCTAAGGTCTTTGATTTTCTAGTAAAGCATGCCCCTCAATGTCATATCTTCAGATCTTGATTATGTAGTGGTGAGAGGTGGTAGGAGGGAATGACCTTGATTCTGTAAAGGATACTGTAGTTCCCCAACATATTTTTTTTGATGCTTTCAATTTGTGAGGTTATTGATTTCGTAGAAAAAATGATTTTGCCTTGTCAGATGTTTTTTCTGTGGAAGGTTCTTGATTTTGTAGAAGGTAACATCCTAGTCTGGAGAGCATACATTGATTTAGCAAAGAGTTTTTTTGGTGCCTGACCTTGGGGCCCTCTACTGAATCGAGGGGTCCAGCACCCCCCCAATTGCAAGGGGGATCCTGAATGGTTAGAGTCACCGAGACTTGGGGCCTTTTCTTTAGACGAAAGTCTCCAATGTCAAACGAAATGCTCCCGGATGGTCGGATTAATTTTCATCACATTACAGCATATTCAAATCGACCCTGAAATTGATTGGGGAGGATCCCTAAAAAGTGCTCCTGTGGCACTGAAATAGGACCCCTTCATTTGTGAAGCCAACCAGGGTTGTCCAACCCAACCACCGGGACGAGGTCGCGGCACTTGTTTCGTTTGTCGGATGGCTCCATGCAGATGGATATGACCAAGACGCCCTCGTTGATGATGATGGACCTAAACAGTTTCATGGAAGAAGCCGAAGCTGGGCGCCAAAGAGCGGCAGCTCAAACTGATGGGTGAAGCTGTGCTGGGTAAAATGCTATGAGAATGTATGAGTCTGAGTGGATCAGTCAAGATGGTTTGTGAATTGGCTCTGGAGACACATTTCTATTTTTTTTCGGCCTTGGCTGGGGTTGTCCAAGATTTTTTAAGCTAAGGAAGCGGAGGAAAAGCATGTGAACGAGCTGGAGGAACGTGAGCGCTTGAATCAGCAGCAGAGGCCACCGGCGGCCACCGGGTTTTTCGGGTTCCGGCTGGGTGACCTCAAGGGTTTCCGTGGCTCAGGCGATTGGCGAGTGGTGCCTTACTGCAGGAGAGATTTGCCGGGAGAAATATGAGATGATGAGATGATGAAATGAATGACCTGTGCTGCTTTCCCTTCAGCTCCAAAAAAGTCTGATGAAAGATTTCCCTCAAGGCTTGGATGACCAGTCAAGACCTAAGGAGCTTTGACCGCACACGAGGGTGTGTGAAACTAGCTACTACCCGAATGTCATAGCGGATCATCATTTTTCACATGGCCACAGGTTTCCTAAAATTGGGGTACCCCAAGTCACCATGGGTTTCAATACCAGTCGTCATGGTCATCCATGACGACTGGGGGTACTCCCGACACGTCCCAGGAGATGAAGAACATCACAGATGCGGCAGATGCCTCTGACACGGTGCTCCTGCAAGGTGGCAGCCAGCAATGCCAGCAATGCCAGCAGGTTTTTTCTTTCTAGTGGCTGGAGAACTCGGCAATGGTCTTGAAGTCATGTTACCAGTTGACTCAGTTGTGTAAAACATCCCAGTTTCATCAGAAATTTGAGAGCCAAAATCTGGGATCTCAGTTGTGTAAAAGGTATCAGAGATCTAACTTCTCCCAGATTTTGGTTCCTGAAACTCCAGTGGCTTCAGCAAGGCTTCAACTGGGAAAGCCATCAAGCTGGCAAGGGCAATTGGTACGGCATCGTGGAATCCAAGGTAGGACCAGAAAGGGACCCATTGGTACGGCAGTGGATGCGAGACAAAACCCTGGTTGGTTGATGATCATTTTTTTTTTTGGATTCTACATGATTCTACTAGCCATTTTATTGGTGATCAGAATCCATGAACTATGGGAATCCAATGGAATCCCGTTTTTCCGATTCCATTATGGGAATTTTTGGTGGTGATGATCGATCCGTCGCCAAACAGGTGGAGATGTTTGCCGACATGGGCATCACCGACATTTGGCTGCCGCCCTGTTCGCAGTCCGTGGCGCCCCAGGTCACCTTGGGGCACCAACTGCTTGATGTTTAGTTTGTGACAATACTTTTAAGTGTACATAGTTGATAGATGTTGATAGCAACCATGGAAATGGTGAAATACGGGTCTAAGAGATTATTCATCATTTAAGGCCTATACACAGATTCGTGTATTTTTTTCTCCTATGAATCATCCAATACTGGCAGCTCCAACCCTGACGTTTGATTGCGGAGCTCTTCTCGAGACTGAGGCAAGAAAGCCCGAAGCCCCTAAGAAATAAAAACAATTTCCTGCGTGCAGCAAGTGTTTTGTGCACATTTCCAATCAATGCTTAGGGCGTGTGGTCAAACGTCGGGGTTGCGGACAACTTTTTTTTTTCCAAACATTGAAATGATCCAGTCACTCACTAGGTGCAAGCGCTTTTGGCAGCAGAATTCTTGAGCTTTGAGACCTAGATATATACACACATTTATACATGGAGGTTTCCAAAAATTGGGGGGTACCCCTAAAATTTATTGATGGATTTTTCATTATAAACCCTCCATTTTTGGACCCCCATTTATGGAACCCCGCATATCATACACTGTATACATGTATATAAGACTCGATATGCAATATTCATTCGATTTCTGGATGGAGCCTTGGGCTTGGCTAGGGCTATTTGCCTTCGCAGCTCTTCAACTTGGATGCTTCGGCCTACGGCAAGAAGGCCTAGCAACGGTGGTGGTGGTGGTGGTGGTGATATTGCTATTTGTATTGTTACTGTTGTTGTTGTTGTTGTTGCTGTTGCTGTTGCTGTTGCTGCTGCTGCTGTTGACATTATTATTTTCAATATCATCATCTGGTTGGTGGTTTCAAACATTTTTTATTTTCCATAATATATGGGATAATCCTTCCCATTGACTAATATTTTTCAAGATGGTTAAAACCACCAACCAGTCATTATCATTTGAGTATTGCAGTATTTCTGTGGTAAACCCAACAATAAACCATCAATTTTGGATGGGTTTCGACCACCCATTTATGGCATTCTTGCTGACTTAGTCAACCATGACCTACGAAAGGACCAGCTAAAGCAGCTGCTGGCTGCGATGCGACAGAAGGCGCACTGGTGGCCCTGGGATGGAAGATGAATGGCATTTGGGGAGGACATCATCTGATTTAACCATCAAAACATGGGCGTACAACTCAATGGATCAGTGAATGATCAGTGATATAACCATCAATGAGGGGATACTTTTTGGATAAATCAACAGAGATACATAAACAAATAATCAATCAAAACGGCGGTATAGCGAGGATATTCTGGATATACTAGGGGATATTGTGCAGATTTCCTTGTCAATTTCGAACAACTTATTTTGTTCAAGGTTTTGCTGCCAAAACAAGTGATGAACAGTTGAGTCTTGTTCCCAAAGTTAGGGCCGTGGTGCGTCTCCTTGGTTCTCCTTGGTTTGGCGCGTTTCTGCGCGCCGTTTCGCGCCCAGGGCATCCGGGGTATGGCGGACATCGTGATCAATCATCGATGTGGAGACCAGCAGGAGTTCGGACCAAAGGCTTTTGATGTTTTGGGTACCCTCTGGTAATTTAACATAGCTATGGAAAATCACCATTTTTAATGGGAAAATCCACTATAAATGGCAATTTTCAATAGTTATGTTAGTTTACCAGAGGGTACTGGGGTATTGGTGGGAGAATCTACTGATGAAACCCCTACATTTGCTGGAAGGAAAACTCCGACCCATGGGTTTCCTGTAGATTCTCCCCGACTCGCGTCAGATCTCACCGACTTGCGACACCAGGATGAACAGGGTCGCTGGAACGTCTTCACCACCACGGGCATTGAGAGTCGCAAGAGTTTCGCGGGGGTGATGGATTGGCAAGGCAGGAAGTTGACATTTTGAGACATGCCCTGCATTCAATGGTGGCTGGTAAATCCCCTAGCAATGGAGGTTTTAATGATTTTTATGGGCAAACAAAACTGGATTTGCTCATTTTTTGAGGAATTTGGAGTTTACCCTAAATTGACAGATTGACCCTGAAAATAACCAACTTTGACTGAAAACTAATCTTCAAACCCCCAACTCATGGCACGGTCTATGTTGATTTACTGAATGGTAGGTTGGCTTTAGGTTGTAGGCTTAGGCTTCAGGGCGGACTTCACATCTGCGATAGGAGTTTCCCTCAAGTTAAGGCCCTGAAATCAGGGGAAAGCTATTCTCGAAACCATGTCGTGATGTAATGGCTCTCCGAAATGGAGGCCCAGAAAAAAGACGAGAACTTCGGAATGTCACCCATAAACATGGCATGATTAGGTCAGACTTTTTTGGCCCGGTGGTTTCAAATATTTATCATCTTGCATCCAGAAGCAGAATGCTAATTCCAATGGAGTCATATCTCTTAGGTGGGTTGAAACTACCAATCAGTTTGGTTTCAGAACATGTACAGATTAGCTTGCCATGGCTTACCCATCCATCTACAAGAAGATGCATCCACCATAAATCCGAAAAAAAACCATTCGGCTATAGTTACTTTACCATACTTTACCAACTTTACCAACCATTAACCATAGTAACTTTAGATAAAGTAGCTTACTTACCATAGTTACCATAGTTGCTAGAGTGACTTAACCATAGTTCCCCACCATAACTGACCACCAACCATTCCCAGGCTGCTTTCCCTCTCGTTCCAGGCTGGGCCATCACTTTGGGAGACAAATTCTCCGATGGCACTGGTGAACGAGGTCCTGGCCAGTGACCTGTGATCAGAGTTGGGTGAAATTTTCCTGATATTTTCTGATTTCATTGCTATGTATACCTCCAAAACTCCAAACGATGGGAGGTTTTGATGGGTATATTAACCAATGATTCTTGCTTGGTTTCGAACATGTTTTTTGTTTCGGATGGGTTGAATCGCACACCAGTCTTTTCACATTTTTTTTGGGAAGCGGTCCGGGACCAAAGCCACCTCCATTTTGGCAGGTTTTCGTTTGTAAACTGTGCAATCTTGAGGTACCCCATTTTGAGACCCAACCAAAATAGTTGGCTGATGGAAAGACAATGCCTTCCCAAAAAGATCTGCAGTCCCTAGTCAGGCTCGTCAAAGGGTAGAGATGTTTTTGTGTTTTCAGGAATCACAGATTGACAACGGGATTGTCACCACAGTCCCTAGCCACTTGCCAAAAGAGACATCCACCTGTATAGAAGGTTCGGAACCTGACAACGGCTAGTGAGAGTCGTGAGAGAGGTACGATGACAAGTTTGATGCTGCGCCGGATATTGACCACGGGAACAAGAAGGTGCGGATTCTTTTGCAGGGAGGGGTGTGGGACAATCAAAGGCAGGTGGATGACTGGACTATGGAAATTGTCAAGTATCTCAGTATCTCCATGATTGCTGGTTGTATTCTCAATTTTGATGTGTGACATGCCCACTTTTCCATACAACTTTCCATGTGGTTGCTCATTGCGATGCATTTTTGAACAACCAGAAAAAGGTCAACCACGTACCAATCACGTTGCTGTGCTGTGGAGAAAACTGTACGCCTTTCAGGATCTTTTTCTCAGGATCTGAGTGACTGAAAAACCCTGTGAAATTTCGCAGCAATCTAAACTGTTCAACAGGTACATTGTTTTTCTTCAGTCCCAAAATGAAGGTTTTGTCATCGAATGGCAAGTTCCTTTGGGTCTTTTTTTGGGAGATAAAGCAAAGGTCAAAGGTCAAAGGTCATTCAACACCAGCGTTTGGCGTAGAGACGAGTTGAGCTGGTTCTACTGGGTGATTTGAGATCATCTGGGTACAGTTCAAGATTCTTATCACCCTACGCATGGTTTGGAGGGTTGAACAAAGACATCTCACGAAAGCTAAGGGTTGCTGGAGTTTCTTCTTGCAGAAAGGAAACAGGCGGACCAAGTGTCCATTGTCCACCGGCCAACTGCATTCCTAGTCATCTTAAGACTCGGTGCTACCCCCGATTGAAATACGGTATTCCACGGTTAAAAAACAAGTAGGGTTGAAACTTCATTCTGGACCCACGATCAAATCTGTCAAAAACGAATGAAATAGCACGTCTTGACAAAATTAGAGCCGCCAGCTCTTGGGCAATGGTCCTCTCTTTTAGAGCTGTGGCCAGCCGTTCGTTGTGGTCGTCCCGCAGTCGTTTTAGTTGCGTACGAGCAAAGTATCTCAGAACCCAGGATTTGGTTGCCTCATTCAATGCCAGAGCTACTATTTGCTGATGACCGGACTGCATCAAGTCACCTTGTCATATATGTGGGTGCATCGCAATAGACCAGTAAAGGCGCGCGAAGCAGGAACTGGCAGCGACCCGCGCGTAGACAATGCTAGTCTGGCGCGCACGTTCTAGGAAGCACGACCAACTGGTAGTTTTGTTGTTGGCCAACCAAACGCGCATTTTTGTGGCATTGGACATTGACCCAGGTGCAGCAAAGCATTGCCATTTGGATGCGCTGGCTTCGTCTGGACGTCGGCTTTGACGCCTGGAGGTTTGATTTTGTTAAAGGCGCCATGGGCTGGGCCACTGCCATGCAGACACCCAAGGTATGCGAAACTTGCCGGCCAACACTTGAAGGTGTCATTGTTTTTGGGGTTGTGCCGTTCATTTGTGACCCCCAACCTTGTCAGCAATCATATCCCACAGTTTTGTTGGCTGCACGTCTTGGTTTGTCTAATTGCCCCACGGCCAGGTTATGGCGCGTAGTATGTGGGCCTTTACTGCAAGAAGAGCCACCCCAGCTGGGCTGTGGGCGAGTTGTGGCTGGACATGAGGCGGGCGGGACGTAGGTGGCAACGCGCACGAACGGTGAAATTGATCAAAACCAAAAAATGACGGATCTACGCTCTGGTAATTTCACATTGCTATCGAAAACCATTTTTTTCGGTGCAAAATTTCGATTTTCATCCATTTTGCCTTGCTAGCTTAAATTATCGGAGGGTAAAAAAATGCGCGCGCGCGTTCAGCAATTGATTGGGGGTGCCCGTGATATTTTTGTAGCAGACACGCTCACTTAAACAAAATTCAATCAACAGTTGGTTTTCAACTCACTGCGCATGCCACGTCGTGAATGAATCAACTTCCATGTTACGGCTGCTTCCAACTTGGCAGGTACGACGATTCAGGTTTGTGCTATGACCAAAACGAGCACAGGTGCCTCGCGCGTGTGGGATTAGCAGTTAATGAATAGCTGCCCGCTCAGGGATTTTGATCATAATTATAATTTGAGAGCACCGATTTTTTTTTGACTACTTCGCCCCATTACCAAGTAGTTCCAAAAACCATCAATTGCGGTAGGTCAGAGCTGAGGGAAACCCATCGGATTTTGGCCAGGCAAAACACCATCAATTGAATCAATGCCACGGACAAAGAGATGCTGGGACATTGAATATTGGGCATCGCTCGAACTTGGTTCAAGTAGTGGCCAACCCATTCGAGGGTTTGGTAAGCGCATCTCACCTTAGGATTTTTAACCATAGTTGTTTTGATTAAAATATACTTAGATCTCCTCAAGTTTTGGATCCGTTGATCCCTTCAAACCCATCGGTGGCGAAGGAGCGCTGCCTTTGACTTCACCACCAAGGGCATTCTTCAGGAGGCGTGCCGTAACACGCAGTACTGGCGCCTGAAGGATAGCGAAGGGAAACCTCCAGGCGAGGCCGTGAAACCGTGGCTTCCCTGGGTGAAAGGTGTGGTTTCTGCAGATTTTTGTTTGGGGGATCCAACTATTTTCCAAGTGTGAAATGTATTTGTGACACATAAGTCATGATAGACCAGAAACTGAGCAATGTTTTTCCGAATACCAAGGATAGTCTATTTCTGTAGTATCGAGGCATTTCCCACCAAGCTAGGACGGTCTTTGGTTCCTGGTTTTTAGAGAGGACTCCAAGATCGGTCACTTACTGTCAAACAACATGTGGGGTACTTAGAGGATAGTCTTCATCAGTCTGGATACTAAGCAGCTGGGGTGATGCCAGTGACTAGTCCAGGCCTGTTGGGCTGGATGCCAACCCATGCTGTTACCTTCCTGGACAACCACGACACGGGCAGCACGCAAGCGCACTGGTGTGGCAGCCCGGGCTATCCGCATGGGTCAAACTCGGGAGCCGCAGAAAATTGGGTTACTGTAAGTTAAACTCATGTAATAAAAAAGGTATGTATAATAGCACCCCCGAAAAAGATCGAAAAGTAAAATCCCACTAAGATGCTCTAAAGTGTTATAGATTTCACCTTTTCGTCGTCTTTTTTTTGGGTTCCTCAACGATGTCGTAGCTGAGGCCCTTTCCCGGAGACAAGGTCCTGGTGGGCTACGCGTACCTCCTGACCCATCCAGGCGGCTCAAGTGACGCACCAATCTCCAAAACTGATTCGTAGACATGGCAGTTTTCGAGAAATTCCCTTCGACTTTTCGTTTTATTTTGGGATAATGATAGTTTGATATACTGTAATTTATACATAATCACCAGTAGAAATTATTGAAAAGAATTCCTGTTGAAGATCGGACCATTTCTATAGATTCTGATCATTTTTGAATCGTTCATTATAACCATCACAGAACGCTCAACGACGCCATGCCAGGCATTCCCAGCATCTTCTGGGACCATGTCTGCGACTGGGGCGACGACTGCCGGGAGCGTATCAAGGTGTTGCTGAAGCTACGCCAAAAGGCGGAGATCAAGGCGAGGCAGCGTGGAATGTCCCAGTTTGTACAATGGTAAACAGCTGTTTTTTTTTGATTTTCATGGGGATTTGGCCCAAGAGCTGGATGGTTTTTCTGATGGAACATCTTATTTAAATGGATGATGGTATGGGGTGCCCCCATTTCAACGCCCAGATGTGGATGGGTCAAGTTAGCAACCTGGGGGAATCAACATCCTACACCAGCTATGACTATGGGTACCGGTGCCAGGGTTTTGACTCGCCAAAAAAATGTGTTTGTCTGAAAATGGGGTATGCTCCAAACAACCCCCTTAAGTATACATCATACATAATGTATATATATATATATATACACGCTATATTATAATATATATATATAGTATATATATATATATTATATAGATATGAAATATGTATGTTCTACATGTTATATGTATCATCTAGCAAAATTTTGTGACGTATAGCACTATTATCTATGTGATATGTTCTATAAAACTGGGCTTCGATTGCACTAGAACGATGGGTTGAGAATTGGCCAAATGCCGTGCCTTGAATGTCATCCCAAGCCATTTTCGCATCATCAACCAAAAAAGACACCTTGAAGCCCTCAGTTTAGTAGGAAATCATCCCATGGTTCTAGGAAATCATAGGAAATCATAAGCCATGTGTGCGTCACCATAGTTTGGTCACATGAATTTTCCATCTGGAGTAAACCACTGCCACTGGACAGGTTGATGCAAAGGTGAAGATCCTTTGTGCTGATGCGGACCTGTACATCGCTGAGCACCTGGGTATGAGAATGTGCTAGGGTGACGAGGGCAACTGAGTGTGAGTCAAGCCATTTAAGACCCAGACAATGAAATGGTCCGTTTCTTACTTTACTTCACAATCACCGCAATTTTGAGCCATATCCAGCTGGCTTGTGCTGACTCAAGAGGCAACAATCTTTGGGCAAGATCTTTTAAAACCTGCTGCACATCCCGCATTGGGCACATAGATGAGCTCTCCGGCTGGTTGACGAGAATTCCACAAGAATTCTGGATTAGATGTTGGTGAATTCATGGTCAATTCCAGGTAAATGATAAACACAAAATCACAAACGCACCCAAAAAAACACATGCCTTCATTTTTCCATATTTTCTGAATTTCTTCCGTACTTTGTTCATATTCTCCAAGTTTTTCCCGCATGTTTTCATAGCCTTGAACCCATCATCCCTGGGGAGCCAGGATCGGTGAGCCAGCGGCGTTGCGGGTGGCCCTGGGCCCGCGGTCTAGCGACGCGGATGGCGCTTGGCAGATGGGCGCCAATGGCAACGACTACAAGGTCTGGATCAGTCCCTTGGCTTCAAAAAATGCCAATTTTGACCATGGAAATCCATGGACAGGTGAAAAAAAATGCTCATTTTACCCATGGAAACATGGGATGAACGTGGGGATGCCTGGTTTTTCATGACATTTTCGATGAGATATGGGATTAGCTGATATAACTATATCATGGCGGGTTAGCTGGCTCTGGAGGTGAAGAAAATGTTAGCAGGTATGGGGATATGATATAGTTAGCCTGTTGCTCCCCCGTCTTTCTCATCTACCCACCCAGATTATGATACAACCAAATTCTATGGGGTAAATACTAAAGACAGGGGAGCAACAGCTTATAGATAATAATAAAACCAAAAATATAAACCATAACAAACAAATAAAACAAAAAAACAAAACAACCTAAACGATACAATAGACCATAAAACAAACCTTACCATAAACCATAACAACAAACCATACACTTAACCTCATTCAAAAGCCTATTGTAAAGCCTATACCTATGAATGGACTTTAAGATAAATTATGAAATAATTTATCTATAAAGCCACATCCCAGCAATGGTAAAGCCAATACATAAAAATGAATGAGAAGAAGAAACCATCTAAAAACAATTCATTTGTTAAATACCCCGTATTCAGTATCCGAATACACCCGTATTCAGTATCCGAATACACCCGTATTCTGTATTCAGTATCCGAATACGCCATTATTCTGTATTCAAATGCTGAATACCCCGTATTCAGTATCTCAATACGCCCTTATTCTGTATTCAAATGCTGAATACGTCCATAGGCTCAATACCCAATGTCCAGCCCTTAGACATCCCAATGTCCAGCCCTTAGACATCCCAATGTCCAGCCCTTAGACATCCCAATGTCCAGCCCTTAGACATCCCAATGTCCAGCCCCCATACCTTATGAGCCCAAGTAAGACCCCCCTATCCTACCTTATGAGCCCTTTTTCCAAGTAGAAAATGAACATCCTACCAAGTAGGAAATCAAAATCCTACTTCACAAAGAAAAGTAGGAAATCAAAAATCCTACCCAATAGGAAATCAAAATCCTACTTCAAGACCACCCTTGTTCAAGTAGGAAATCAAAATCCTACCCAGTAGGAAATCAAAATCCTACTTCAAGGCGCAGTATTTCAGTGGCAAGGCGCAACTATCTGAAACATACAACATTTACAGCATTCAGTATTTCTTCTACCAGTTCTTGAGGGATTTTATACAAATCAGTCTGTGAATGAAAAACAGGATTATCCCCCCAGTCGGCTTTGGTTTTTGAGGGTAAGCGTTGTGCTGTTTCTTTATGCCTGTTCCCATCCATACTATCACAATCCTTTTTACAAAGAGGTCTGGGTGTCCAAGTGTCCAAGTTAGTCCAGAGCCTCGTTCTTTTCCTGTAATTAAAGCCATACTTATTTAAGCGCTTACGCGCGACAGCCGGCCAGGGGCCCAACTATGTGGGCCCATTTTGTGGCTATGTTGGCCTATGTTGGCCTATGTTGGCCTATGTTGGTCTATCTTGCGGGCAATATGGGCCCATCTTGTGGCTAGGTTGGCCTATGTTGGCCTCAGGTTGATTCATGTTGAGCCAAAAGATCCGAAAAATGGGAACAGCAAAAAAAACACTGTAAAACGCAAGGATTTTGATGGTCGGTGGCCTATCTTGGGGCTATGTTGGCCCATCTTGGGGCTATGTTGGCCTATCTTGAGGGCAATGTGGGCCCATCTTGGGGCTATGTTGGCCCATCTTGGGACTATGTTGGCCCATCTTGGGGCTATGTTGGCCCATCTTGAGGGGGCTATGTTGCCCCATCTTGGGGCTATGTTGGCCCATCTTGGGGGCTATGTTGGCCCATCTTGAGGCCTATGTTGGCCCATGTTGACCCATCTTAAACCACAAGATCCGAAAAATGGGAAAAAATGGGAAGAGCACAAAACACCGTAAAACGCGGGACTTTTTGGCGGTACCGACGGGTCGGCGGCAGGGGCGGCGGCCCCTCTCTCCTACGGAGAGGAGAGAACTGCCGTACGGCAAGGACACGGCCAGGGGGCCCCTGGCCGGATTTATGAGGCTTACGCCTGACAGCCGGGCGCCGGCCAAAGCAGACCTGTGGAAGGTATGCGTTGGGTGTAATCCAGTTCCATGTTCTGATGTGGTGGTTGTGGTAGTTGGGTTGTTGTTGTGCTTGCTGTTGTTGTTGTTGTGGTTGTGGTGGTGGTTGTTGTTGTTGTTGTTGTTGTGGTTGTTGTTGTTGTTGTTGTTGTTGTTGTTGTTGTTATTGTTGTTGTTGTTCTTGTTGTGCTGGTTCTGATCCGTGTGCTTGTTGTTGTTGTTGTTGTTGTTGTTGTTGTTGTTGTTGTTGTTGTTGTTGTTGTTGTTGTTGTTGTTGTTGTTGTCGTGATCGTCGTTGTTTCTGTCTGCTTGTTGTTCTGCTTGTTGTTGTTGTTGTTGTTGTTGTTGTTGGCATTGTCGTTGCTGTTGTCGTTGCTGTTGTCGTTGTTGTTGTTGTGGTTGTTGTTGTCGTGGTCGTGGTTGTTTTTGTTCTTGTTGTTGTGATTGTTGTTGTTGTTGTTGTGGTTGTGGTTGTTGTTGTTGTCGTTGTCGTTGTCGTTGTTGTTGTTGTTGTTGTTCTTGTTGTTGTTGTTGTTGTGGTTGTGGTTGTTGTTGTTGTTGTTGTTGTTGTTGTTGTCGTGATCGTCGTTGTTTCTGTCTGCTTGTTGTTCTGCTTGTTGTTGTTGTTGTTGTTGTTGTTGTTGGCATTGTCGTTGCTGTTGTCGTTGCTGTTGTCGTTGTTGTTGTTGTGGTTGTTGTTGTCGTGGTCGTGGTTGTTTTTGTTCTTGTTGTTGTGATTGTTGTTGTTGTTGTTGTGGTTGTGGTTGTTGTTGTTGTCGTTGTCGTTGTCGTTGTTGTTGTTGTTGTTGTTCTTGTTGTTGTTGTTGTTGTGGTTGTGGTTGTTGTTGTTGTTGTTGTTGTTGTTGTTGTTGTTGTTGTTGTTGTTGTTGTTGTTGTTGTTGTTGTTGTTGGCCTTATGTGGGCCCATGTGGCCCGATGTTGGCCCTATCTTGGCCTTATGAGGGCCCTATCTTGGCCTTAGGTGGGCCCACCGTGGCCGATGTTGGCCCTTTGCTGGCGCAGGTGAGCTCCCATCATGGCCCCTGTTGGCCCCAGCCTAGCCTTATGTGGGACCATGTGGCCCCATGTTGGCCCTATCTTGGCCCGAGGCGGACCCATCTGGCCCACACCTTGGCCGATGTTGACCCTATGTTGGCGCAGGCTTGCCCCTAATGTTGACCCATGTAGCTCACATCTTGGCCGATGTTGGCCCTATGTTGGCACCAAGGCCGTCAAGATGTCCAGTTTTCCGTTCCGAACCCCGTCCGAAGACCCAAAACCATGAAAAACCCACGGTTTTTGCACGTCGCTGACATGAAACCTGGAGACGGCGAAGGCCACAAAACCCTGTAAAAACGATGTTTTTTGAACACCACACGCAGAATACACTGTAAATTACACGTAAAATCGTGGGTCGGGGGTGAACCGGAATCGACACGGGGTCGACCCGAGGTGGTCGGCGGCAGGGGCGGCCAGCGTATATAACCTTCGGTTACCACCGAAGGCCTCCGGCGAGGACACGGGCGCGGGGCCGGCGCCCGGATTTAAGGGCTGCCGCCCCTGCCACCGACCCCGGAAAAAGGGGGAAAGAGGAAGGGTTACGAGCAACCCTTCCATAAGAATATATATAGAAGTTTGCCAGATGAGTATTGTTCGAAGGGATCGAAAGGGTATATTTGTCAACAAGGAAGCAATTCTGTGGTAGAGCTACGAACTCTGTACATGTTTGCACAGCAGATGAAGCCCAGTCACTGGAGTGTAGAGCACTGCAGCGGTTTTTTGGTTTCAAAGAAGAATCTACCACAGATCTCGAAATAAAGCTACAACATACTTTCCGGTGATTCATCGGATATGTCCAACTCACGTTGTTGTTGTTGTTGTTGTGGTGTTGTTCCCTAGAAAAAACAATAGTTTTCGACCAGTTTTTTGTACCACTTTTTGTAAAATGAGACATAGAACCCTCCTGCTGCTCCTGTTGCTGCTGCTGCTCTTCCTCCCGAAACTCAAAACGCACCCTGCCGGACAGGGAAACACAGTGGCCCTGAAGGACGGAACGGCGCCAAAATCGAGCCCCAAAACTGCCTAACGTCCCTTCTGAAACCCTAGAAAAACAGTATATAGTTTTCGACCAGTTTTTGTACCGCTGTTTGTACAATGAGACATAGTGAGACATAGAACCCTCCTGCTGCTCCTGTTGCTGCTGCTGCTCTTCCTCCCGAAGCTGAAAACGCACGCTGCCGGACAGGGAAACACAGTGGCCCTGAGGGACGGAACGGCGCCAAAATCGAGCCCAAAAACTGCGTAACGTCCCTTCTGAAACCCTATACAATAGTTTTCGACCAGTTTTTGTACCGCTGTTTGTACAATGAGACATAGTGAGACATAGAACCCTCCTGCTGCTCCTGTTGCTGCTGCTGCTCTTCCTCCCGAAGCTGAAAACGCACGCTGCCGGACAGGGAAACACAGTGGCCCTGAAGGACGGAACAGCGCCAAAATCGAGCCCAAAAACTGCCTAACGTCCCTTCTGAAACCCTAGAAAAACAATAGTTTTCGACCATTTTTTGTACCGCTGTTTGTACAATGAGACATAGTGAGACATAGAACCCTCCTGCTGCTCCTTGTTGCTGCTGCTGCTCTTCCTCCCGAAGCTGAAAACGCACGCTGCCGGACAGGGAAACACAGTGGCCCTGAAGGACGGAACGGCGCCAAAATCGAGCCCAAAAACTGCCTAACGTCCCTTCTGAAACCTTAGCAAAACAATAGTTTTAGTTTTCGACCAGTTTTGATACCGGTGTTTGTACAATGAGACATAGTGAGACATAGAACCCTCCTGCTGCTCCTGTTGCTGCTGCTGCTCTTCCTCCTGAAGCTGAAAACGCACGCT